CTACTTGAAATAGAGCAGACTTATTTAATTAATTTTTTTAGTTTTGTAGTTAAAAAAATCATCTACATTAATAAAATTTTTCACCTTAGATGCTGAAGGCTACTACCTGCCTGTACTTCTGTTAGTGAAATCTTCTTATGGAAAATATTCACCGTGTCATGAATACTAATGATGAGTTTATATGTAAATCGTTCGTTGACTTTAAACACTTTCTATTCGTTCCTTTTGCATAAAATACCATCAACAGTTATCTGGTAGTTTAAATGAGACAGAGCACACATTCTAAGTGAATGAATGCCCGTGCAACAAATCCACCGACTTATTCGCGTGCAAAAGAGCCTTACAAATAAATGGCAGTTATCTCCTTAAATCGGATGGGAAACTTTGATTCCTGAGTCACTGCTCAATCACGTACACGTCCACACTGTTGCATTCCGCGCATTTTAGCGAGGCCCTCATAAGGTCATTCAGGCACGCTTGTCTTACTCGCAGTCTGACAGCTCAGACAGCTACCATTCGTGTATGTAATGTACTCGATCTAGGTTTGCGTGTTCAGTGCGATCGATTTCCCTCTAGTGGTTTCTTTCGCATTAACTATCCTCAACAGTAATTTGGTAATTTAAATAAGACATATCTCGCATTCTGGGGGGGCAGGGACTGTGACTTCTCAGTCACTGCTCAATCATGTACACACGCACTGACTGCGCACACTGATTCATTCGGTGCAGTCTAGCAAAAATCTTCCGCAAAGTCATTCAGGCACGTTTCTACTCACCGCAGTCTGACAGCTCTGACAGCTGGCAAAAACCCGTCGTGTACACACTGTGTCCGGGTCCGGGTTTGCGTGTTGACTGCGATCGATGTCATCTCGCATGCAGTTTCGCTCGCGGTCATGCTAGAGTAATATGCGCTAGTAAGTAGATAGTACGGCCCCCATAATCTCACATTTGTGTTGCAATTACTTGGTCCAACCTCCGCTCTTATATACATACCTGATTGGTTACCCGGGTAGAAACATATCTTTCTAATTCATTAATGGTACATTGCTGGTATTCTCTTATTTCGCGGATAACAACATGTTTTTTTTAAAAGTCATTAGAATAACACCGAAATTAAATCTGAAGACGTGCTTCAACGTCTATCAAGGAACGGAAAACTTGTTTTGTGTTCATGAACTTGATGTAAATGCAAGTATGAGAAAACGCATTATTCATTGGGAAAAGTAGTATGGATCAGGACTTAGCAAAATATATTTTGCAAATCATGTTTTGCACCATCAAATCAAGTAATACTCTTGTGGAGGTGCATTTTTTACTACGCCGAAAGCACCGATAAACACTTAAAACAGAGTTTGTACTGGTGGACAATCGACTGAACTCACTGAAAATCGCAGAGTGTTAAACAACATTTCAAGCCCGCCCAGAACTTTCTCATTATCGAACTGTTGAGCTTATTTGAAAGAAATGTGACGGAAGGAAACGTCGGTCAAGATGGTACAAGTAAGATAACAGGTGCAAACGTAATATTCATTTATAGACTACAGGCCCTCTTTCCGCGTGTGGCCTGCAATCTGCTTCTGTTCCTGTCAACAGCCCGGATCTCAATCCCATCGAAAAATTCTTGAAATTAATGAAAGATAATAGTACAAAACAATAGCGAATTTTTATGTACCAAAATACTTGAGTTTTTTCTGAAAACATTAAATTGATCAAGCCAATATACACATGCACTCCATGCGTGATGGACATAATACTGTTGTTAATATACACGGACACATCAAAAAGTAATTTATTTTATATTTGTTTTTATTCTGTATTAATTGACCGTTTATCTGCGCTCTATTGCCTTAACTACATTTATGTTGAACACTAGACCAGTGACCTTTAACATATCACTTCTCTGAATTTCGTTTTTTTTAATTAAACGGTAACGATTTATATTTTAAAACAGTGCATTTTATCAGCTAACATATGCATTTTTATACTTATGAAAATTAAGTTACTGTTGTAAAACGTGAGGGGACGCACATGTGCTGAATCTCCTAAAATGCATTATTTGCCTTTACCACGACGTTTCATCAGATAGACACTCTAATATACTTGTGAAAACGGTTCCTGTTGCCATAGTTAGACTCTCTTTCGTACAAGAAATGTATTAAAGTTGTAGAATCAGGGCCATAATCTATACAGCCCGGCTAAGGACACCCCTCATAAACGTAAAATGTTAGACTTAAAACTCTCAGGCACATCACACAATGAAACAGTGCTATTGCTGTCCCCGAGAACAATGAAAATGAAGTAACGTTTCTGTTTTTAATTAAAAAATACATATTTATATTTTAGTAAAGTGTAATTCATCAGCCAACCTATGTCTCCTTTTACTCATAGAAATTGAATTACGCTTGTAAAACGTGGAGGAACACCGAATGCGCTGATTTCGCGCAACATGCATATTCTTATTTATACCACGACGCTTCATCAGATAGACAATATATTAAAATTGAAAAAACGGTTCCTGTTGCCACAGTTAAACTGTCGTTCAAATATAACCTCAGGACAAATACCCACATTCCATACAGCGCAACTGAGGACAACTCACATAAACGTCCCATTTTAGAGTTTACACCTCTTGGGCTCATCACTCAGTAAAGAAACGAAGTCGTGTAACTAGACGGTATTATGCATTATGTTTTATTACATTATTATGCATCGCTTTCGACGATGTTCGCACTTGTCTTTGCACTCCTCCAGGCTCTCAAACCTGTTGTCGTTGCCACCGCAACCACCGTAGATGAACTGCTCACAGTGACCACTTGTGCTGTTGTAGCCATACATCCGAAAGTAAGCGTAGCCCATTCCGGGATCGATTGGATCGTCACAAGGATGATGCCTTCCTTATAGCAGAAGAGTGAATAGGAAGCAGTCGTAAATGGAGACAGATGGAAATAGAATGAAGCAGAATAAAGCATACAGTTGACATGTAAAACTTGCTTAACAATTCGATCGATGATTGGCACACACGCACACACAAGATAGATATAGACTTTTATGTATTTTTGGAATTTAAATCCTTTTTTTGCATATTTACTCATGCTAGGCGACGTAACAGGGAAGCAGCTTCCACAATATAATCAATAGTGAATGAATCTAGGTGTTTAGCCGATCTAGTCAAGGAACAATTAAGTTCCGCTTTGCCAAAAAGCTCGTAACGCAAACCCTCAAGACCGTCACATAATGACTAAGTTGATATGATGACATAGATCCGACAAAGCAAAGGGAGACCGGAATGGCCTTTTCTGGCTTGTTAGCCATCATCAGCCAGTCCTACCCAATCTAAGGGGTCGGAAACCCCGAGATTCGAACCCGTGACCTTTGGTCATTGGGTTTAACACCCTACCTCAGCACCACGGGCTCGTTGCTCTGTCGGTTGTGATCGGGAATATGATGAATGAATCCAGGTTTTTCGCCGATCTAGTCAAGGAACAATTAAGTTCCGCTTTGCCAAGGA